TTGTTTTAATCGAAATTCGTAGTGGCAACCACTAAGGTTTCGGCCCCCGTCGCGCAACCCCACGTCGCGCGTCGACGTAATTCGACCACGCTCCATCTCACGAACAACATTCCCTCATGCCTCGTCCGCTGCCTCCGTGGCTCGAACTCATCCCAGCAGCGGAAGGCAACACTGACAGCGCGTCAACAACCACCGAACCTTCACAGACCGAGAACCTTCTTCCGTGGGACACAATGTCCTCCTCCAGCACTCCCATCTCGCCAGAGATGTTTGCCATCGCAATCAAAGACTTACCAGTCGACACTCTCTACGCCAAAGCTGCCGAGCTCCTGAACAGCATGCAACACCTCCGCGACTCCAACGCTCAAATGGCCGAGTTTGCAGATTCTGGTGACGAAGTGTGCAAGGAAGCTATCAGCGAGAACGACGTCGTTATTTCAAGAATGCAGGAGCGGATAGAGCTGTGCAAAGCTGAGGTCGAGGGCAGAGGGATGCGCTGGACGGGCCATGTACAGGCGGCAGAGGAGAAAGAGAATGGCGAAGCAGTGAATGGCACGTTGACAAACGGCCATGCAGAGCAGGATGAGAGTGCTGTGCCAGAGACCAGAGTTCCAAGCGGGCGATTGACGGATGAAGAGTTGAGAAGGCAATTGGAAGCTCAGATGGGCGATGATGGCGAGGACGGAGTGCACCTCTGATCGCCCATTTCCCAGCTCACAAGCCTGAGTCAGGACAAGATGCTGTTTGATCGCAGCAAAGCATGAGAATATTCAGAAGCAAACGTGGGCACGTATCCGTCAGCGTGGTCAAGGCTAGCGGACTACTCACCTCCCCAGAGAGAGCCTCCATCGCGCGAGCAGGGAATCGGGATGGAGCATGCACGCAACCTGACAGCGTTCTACCAAACAGCGAAACTATAACACGGATACCCATGTTCCAACACAGACGTTCGACATCGACGACTCCATAGCAGAATAAGGAAGAGGCTTTGGAGTGGCTGATCCATGGTGAATACACCAAAGGGGAGTCCGAGACACTTGGACAGGTGAATGAGAACATGGCCTGCACTTCGGACTCGCGTTTCGACTATATATTGGACCTTGTGCATCACTTCTATACTTTCGCCCGACTCCACTAACAGTCTCAAGTCGAATGGAGTCAGCACTTCCAATGGCTTCCCCGGCTACAGGACACTCGAGATTTGCGTCGGCAGTCTTCCTTATCACGGAACTGTTCGAGCAAATCTTGAGCCAGGTAGATGCGAAAACCCTACTGCTTGCTCAGCGCGTCGACAAGCACTGGCACGGGATGATTTCCACATCTACACCACTTCAGCAGAAGATGTTCTTTCGACCTGCGACTCGCGAACAACTGCCTACCATTTATGCTGTGGAGCGTCGACTAACCACCATACCCACAAACGCTTCTGGCCTCGGCCTACGACGAAAGTCGTACCTCAACATCCACAAGCTCGCCGATCCCGAGGACAGGGAACAACCAGACCACAAAATCATCGTTTACAACGCGCTCCTATTCGATCGCCAGATCTGGCGACAGCCGGTCCTGCAACCCAAGATTCGCCTTGCCAGAGTCTCCGCCATCAGACCATCCTGGGAGAGAATGCTCCTTACTCAACCTCCGCAGCCAAAACTCGTCTTGGCTTTCGAGAACAGCGATCCCTCAGTCCCTCGAACACGCCACGAGGCCACGCTAGCTGGAGATGTTCTGGTAACCAATGTGCTTATTGCCGCCGAGCGAGATCTCCTACAGGCGTATGGCACAAAGCATTTCGAGGGCTTGCACGAATATGCGACACCAGATCGCAAGGTAGACATGTACCTTGTGGGGAGCGATGTGCCTATTGCTGAGTCGGACGGGCTTGGGCTCAGTGAATTGGAGGCATAGAGGGCGGGCTGCTGAATACCACTGAAGCTGTACCTGATGAAATCGAGACATGGATGCTTGGCCATGGACGACTAGGCGATAAGCACCATCTGCTGGGGCTCACAATCGTGTTGGCACTCAGAGCGTGATTTACCTCTGACGTTGCCGCAGATTGGCATTGTAAGGTCACACGCTGCGATTTGTTCAGAGACGTCATTTCCAGAGACACTGGTAGCAGTGTAATGAATTCAAATATAGTCATCGGCAACAGACCACTGAATTCACCAAACAGGCCCTCTGCCGCGTACTTGGGACCCTGAGGTGCTGCACAAATAGTACGATACCATTCACCCATCCATAATCTTTACAAGAGGCCGGTCGATTGCTCGGCATTGGTGAATGGACCTGAGTGGGGCAGGTGAACAGAGACTGACCTGTGCCTCCACTATGTGTTGGCCCATTGGCACTATATTTCTTACTCTGTCACACCAACACACGAGACTTGGAGCCGACCTCGAGTACCGCATTCGAGCCTTCAACATCATTTCCATAACAAGATACGGCAAGGCAGGTCGGTCAATACACTATGGACCCTTTGCACATAAGGCACTAATTCTCTGCGAAGACGCACACTTCATTCGAGATGGACGCAACACGCCCGACTGCCTCGAAAGTTGCTGAAGATTCGCACAGCTCAGAGGTCTTCTACGTTACCGAACTGTTCGAGCAGATCATGATCCACGTTGACATGAGAACTCTTCTCCTCGCCCAGCGCGTTGATAAGCACTGGAGCACGATAATTTCAACGTCCAAGCCACTTCAACAGAAGTTGTTCTTCCTTCCAGCAACTCGAGCGCAACTCATTGCTCTCAATACAATCGAGCTAGGCCCCATCATCTGGCATCCCGAAGACGACAAATGGTGGCGAGCGACTCAGCCAGAGAATCGCTATAACATCTGCAAGTTCTCGAGCAAGTGCTTCATGACCGGAACGACACACTCTTCGAAACCCTTCCAACTCGCCATCTACAACCCGATCCTCTTCAACATGCCGAAATCAAATAATCCGGTCCTTCAGCACAAGATACGCAGCGAACCAACCTCGACTGTTCGACCCTCTTGGGAGAAAATGCTCATTTTGCAGCCTCCTCAGCCGAAGAAGCTGATGTACTTCGTGGACACTAGATATTCCTCGTGCCAGTACCACGCTGGCGCCCGGAATTTTCTAGCTGAGGGCGACGCCGCATTGCTCGAAGTCCTCAGTCTGGCAGAACAGTGCCTGCAGGAGAAGTACAAGTCAACCCATCCAGAATGCGTCTGCGAGATTGGAGGGCCAGGTCGAAATGCTACTATGCGCCTTTGCGCCGTCGCTGCGTCTCCTGAAGATGTCGAGGAGTTCAAAGTTGGCGAGCTGGACACTTGATTGCATGGTGACAAATGCTTTCGTGGAGCCACCGCATTGTCTGGAGGTGGTTGCTGAGGCATGAGCGAGGGACTGGACAAGATACAGACACACAGCAGCTGACATGGCCTAAGGTCTGCCTCAGAAGCTGACCATTACGGCCACTCAACGTATATTTGCGAGAGCGGTGCGGCTTATGCAAAAATACGCATACAAAACATGAAACCCAGAAGAGTATGTACACACAACCTCAGGATCAGTCCCACAAGTCTGCATAAGAGCGGAGTTGATGATCATGAGCTATCAGTGAATGGATCTGAGCGGGCCGTTCCACAAGATGGGGTAGGTGAATGGGAACAATAACTCGGCTCCCGATGACTTGAGTCTTGACTATAAATTCATTTCAGCTCTCACCACAAGGAACCTTCAGTGCAGCACTTGATCATCCTCGTCCGCCTTGTGTCGCTTTATAAGCTCAGAACTCATTCGAGATGGACGCAGCCACTGCTGCTGCTGTTAATACGACAGCCGAAGAACACACGAACCATGGACCGGTGGTCTTCCACATTACGGAGCTCTTTGAGAAGATCATGTGCAACCTGGACATGAAGACGCTCCTCCTCGCACAGCGCGTCGACAGGCACTGGCGCACCGTCATCTGCGCTTCGAAACCTCTTCAGCAGAAGTTGTTCTTCCAGCCGGCCACTCTCAAGCAAATGCTCTCCCTAAACGCAGTGGAAACTTGCCGGAGCAAATTGATTACCAAGCGCCCAGGTCGACGAGGCAACCACCCCAGCCTCTTCCACAATATCTGCAGTCTCGGTAGTGACAAGTCTCCCGAAGTGGCCATCTACAACCCACTCCTACTCGGCTATCAAGTCGGTCGCTGGCCAAACCTCTCACCCAGCATCCGGCGCACATCAGACTCGACCACCATTCGACCTTCCTGGGAGAACATGTTTCTCGTCCAACCTCCACCGCGCGACGTACACCTGACCTTCAAAGTTGGCACTCCAACAAAATATCGCATGATGAACTACCGAAATGAAGATCTTTCGGCCCTCAGTGTGGTCAAGGCTGCTGAGCGGCGCATTCGAGAGATCAACGAAGCAGATTCTGCCGGATATCGCGTGGATCTGGAACCAGGATTCCGGGTCGAAATGTATCTTGCAGTCGGCACGCTGCGCTTCGAGCAATTGATCAGCCTTGGGCTTGCTGGATTGTGGCATTAGAGAAAGGGCTACGAACCAGAACACCCAATGCAATGCATAGGCACTGAGCCACGGCCCACTGGAATTGTCCAGTGTCTCTGAAATGACACGCTAGCGTGGGCGCACAGAGCGAGATGTGACTCTGAGACTGGCTCAGTCGACGCCGCGAGCACTACATTAAGACTCTGGAAAACTTGATGGAACCACAGGCACGAGTAGCAACACGGAATCAAATGGAAAATCGTCATATGCGCTAGCCCGAACACTCCGCTAAAACAGACATGTACACATCTACACAATGCTCAAACCCCACTAAACTCCCTTTCCCTCAGTACTGATGCCCTTTTCAAAACCGCTCTGCCGTATGTCACATTTCAAATCATACACACAATGAACCTTTCCCCATGCTCTTCCCCCTAGCGCCCTCTACCACCTCCTGGGCACATCTTTCACCTGACCCGTCCATCCAACCCTCAGACTCGTTGGGAACGGGAAATACTGATCCCAATCCTCTGTCAAATACAGATGATAATGCCAGCTCTCAGGCAAAACCTTGCTGTCCCCAGGCACAAATTCCTTCATGACCTTCTTCACGCTGTGCGGCTCACTCTTCTTACCAACGGCCACAGGCATAGGCTTGAGGTTATCGAGTCGCCCGATGACTTTGAGCATTGTCGTGAGAGCTACGCGCGTCATGGGCAGACCGAGACATTGGTGGGGTCCGTGACCGAGGATGAGATAGCTGTCCAGGTCCCGCGTGAGGTCGAGTTTGTCAGGGTTGGGGAAAGCTCGGGCATCGCGAGAGGCGGATTTGAAATTCACCATGATGACATCTCCCTTTTTGATGTTGTGCGTGACTTTGCCTTTGTCGGAGCCTGGGAAGTTCTCGAGACCAGTGTCATCAACGATGGTGGTATCCTTGGTTGCGTATCGGAAAGCGCCAGTCTCACCATAGAGGCGAGCACCTTCCATCAGATAGTGCATGAGGGTATCGTCGGCTTCGGGAGTGTCGAGCTTGGCGAGCCGGTTGATTTCTGCCAAATGCGACTGGCCTTCGGTGAAGAAGTAGTCGAGAGCTTGTCCGAAAAGTTGGCCCTGATTTGGCATCATGCCTCCGACAGTGCCCATAATGTTGCCCCAAACGAGTTCGTCGACATCCATGTCCGGGTTGGCTTTGATGAGCTGAGCGATCATGTGGACGCCGTAGTCGCCGAGTGGTCCGTCGTTGGGTTTAATGGCATCGATGAGGAGTTCAGCAATGCGGCCTGTACGCTTGATGCTCTCCACTTGGAGCTTCATGAGCGCTCCGAGTTGTTGGCAGGCCTCGCGCGCCTTGACGCGCAGAGGGAACGACTTCGGTGGATCTAGGTCGAAGAAGACGCAAATGAAGACCTGGTCGGAAGTCAGCTTCCCGCCTCTGATAGTGCAGCTTTGAAGATCAGCAACTTACCGCAGCCATGATGAGGTACATCTGCGCCTCAGTGAATATCCCTCTGGGAAAGTCTTTGGTCTTCAAAGGCAGGCTGAAGAGCTCAGATCCGAAACGCACATGAGCCATGTTGCTCACATCGCGGATGATATCAACATAATTAGTATCGCCCAGCTTGTACGATTTCTCCTTCAGCAGTTCTGTAGTCTTGTACTCGTAGAAGTCACGAACGGCCTTCAGCCACTTCTCGTTGCCCTTTGGAATCGCGCGTGATGAGCCACCTTGATATACGGCCTTCTCCATAACATTTCTGGACTGGGTATTCTTGGGCCCATCGCCAGCGAGCATGAAGTTCTTGGCTCGTGGGCCCATCAGGAATTCCATTGCTGGACCCCAAGTCACCTTGAATGTTTCTGGATCCTCAGTGACTTGCTTTGCGGATGCGGCACTGAAGAGCACGGTCGGGTGATGACTCTCCTTTGGCTTGTCAAAGTTGTAAATGTGAGCTTTGTTGAGTCCCTTCAGTATGTTGTGCATCTCGTCCGGAACAGTCAGAGGGTAGTGTACGTAGGTCGAAGCTGGATTGAAGCTGTTTGGCAGCGCACGAAGGAAGAGCTTGTAGAACACACAGCCATTGTCGATCGTAAGATCTGACGAAGCTTCTTGATATCCCCAATTGGTGAGCAGTGCAGGCGTATACGAGCTTGTGTAGAATCTGTCGCCGCGGACGAGAGCAACAGCATCGGATAACACACCGCGAGATGTCGTGTACGATGGGCAGAGACCAGAGCCAGGCATTTTGGGATCTTTCGCGTCTTCGACCACGAGACCAGGGTAGAGTTCCACCTATATCACGAGTGGTTAGCTTTTGTTCATGCAGCGATGGCACGTGAAGTTCTGCTTACCTGGTCTGGAGTATCGTAGAGATGCTTCAAGGCATTCTGTACCTCCACGTTCTCTGTGATGGACTCAAAAGTCTCATGCGGCTTCAGATCAAAATGCTTTCGCATCTCATTCAAGGTGGCACATCTCCACGTTCTGGCCTGTTGGATGCCGAGAATTTCGACTGCCTTCATGACGGTAGGGACTTGTCTTGGACCCATGGCATTGGCGCAGTCCTCAATACTACTGGTCAACAGATTGGCGATGTCATCATCGTCGTACCTTCCTGCGAAAGGACCAGCTTTGATGCGCTCCATCTTCTCCTCCTTCAGCGCTGGGAAGTCACGCTCGTTGGGCATCTTGGATTCTGTCGTCTCCTGGATTTCCTTCAGCTTGCCCAAGAACTTGTACATATGCTGTGGCTTTGCTGCATCTGCAGGTGGTACTCCTGGAAACATTTCCCGGAACAATTGCTGTGTCCACAGGTCATCTCGACGAGAGACAGAAGAGTGCCATCTGGAGCGATAGGTGTAAGCAATAGTCACTGTCTCACATGTGGTGGCTTTGGCAGGGCTGAAAGTGTGTTTACCTGTAAACAAGGTTGAAATCTGCTGCACATTGATTACCAGTGGCAACTGGTGGGCCGTCAGGGATATTAATGCGCGGATCGAGTTGCCAGTTGTCGTCGGTTCGATTCAAATTCAGGATAGTCCTAACATAGTCTGTTGTCTTTTGTCAGTAGTCGTTTTCAATGTCATGATTTCCTGGCTTACCGATGAGGATGATGTTAATGTACAGACCACAGGTAATGAGACGAGCCGTCTGGAAGAGGTCGTCGTCACGCTTGTCGAGCTTGTCCTCGCCGTAGCGGGAAATTGTAGGCTTTTTCGGGTCGACGCTGAACCTTCCGTCTTCGTTAATGGCGGCGAGCTGCTCCACAACGTAGTTATGGTATCGATTGAAGCAGATCAGTATTGCTCCGACACCAGGTGGGAAAGTCAAGAGTCGTGTCTCGGAAAAGCAGTCGGGCTTGATCTTGCCATCCTTGAACGTTCGCATACGCTTTTGCTCTTCCCAATTGGACCCATACAATGGAGCCAGGTCGAGGTACGACGATGTGCTGGATTTGTTGTAATCATCGTGATCTGTGCGGAAAATGTCGTGAATGATGATCGAAGCCAAGTAGAAGAGCATCGAGGATATTTTGTTTGGGTGCTGTTCATGCTTGCCTTCTGGGCGGGCCATGAGCGAGTCGAATAGGATAGCAGGATCTGGCAAGACGCCGCCTTGTTTGACTTTGGGCGCCACAGTACGAGCGTAGGGCATGCCGGCCTTTCCAATGTCTGGGTATAAGTAGCTGTTGTTGCTCCCATCTGGCTGACGGAAGAGAAACTCGTCGCTCAAAAGTGTCTTGGGCGGGTGTTCAAGGTCGTCCCACAAGGTTGTGACCATCGTCTCTGTGATCTTCTTTTGCAGGAAGCTGTCAGGCATTTTTGTGGCCACGGCAATCATGCTTTCCATCAGATACTCCTTGTCATTTAGGGGCTGACCGAACTTGGCAGATTTGATAATCTTGAACAAGCCCTCTAGATCGTTGACATCTTGCCTTGGAATGTCGCGAAAGATCTCGGCCACGTCTTTCCATAAGCTGTCCTTCTCTGGCTGCGGCAGGTACGAGCCATCTCCTGTGTGTGTTGGTAGAGGTGCTTTCACTGCATTCAAAAGTGTCTTCATTTGTTGTAATGATTGCCACACACTCGTGCGTGCCTTGTCAAGCGTCGACATTTCTGGCTCTGGCGTGTGGTTGACGCCATTGGTTTCTGTTTGCATATTCGTCAATCGATCGTTCTTAGGCGTAGTAGTTGAGATCGAACTTCGTCTGTCATACCTGCGTCGTGACCCATCTCGGGACTGAGATTTAGTTAGCAAGGCAATCTTTCATGTGATCGAAACATAAAAAGCAGATGGTACAAGGTAGCTCCGAAAACCAGTGCAGGTCTGTCAATGCGATCGATCTCGCTGTCAATGTCCCTCAAAGGCGGCAATGGCTTCCATAGGAGCTGTTCCTTCCTCCTGGTCCGTCGTCCACTTTTCCGTGCCTTTACTGAATTCGTTCCTGGGTCTGGATGCATTGCTTGGCTCTGCGAGCTCTGATGCTGCGTAGCATTGGTAGTTTCGCGTTCGGTCGTTCCAAGAAGCTGCATCTGCTTGTACTGATAGCCGCGCGATTTGAAAGGCTGCCGCATGATCTGCGGATCCCGTTCCAAGGTGCTCAGACCATCGTTCATCTTTAGGTGTTGTAGGTACACGAGACCGGATGCTTATCAACGACTCTGCGTGTTTCGACACGAGCATCATTCCGTACTTGCTTCCATGGCCAAGCATAGCTCCTGCTTCTGTCTTTCGTCCGGTGGCCGGCAGGAGCGTCCAGAAGAGAAATAAGAGAAGACGGGCAACTCACCTATTTGTGATGACGTTGCTATCAAACGTCAATGGCAGGAACGATATACTGGCACGCTAAAGGGAAGGTAATGGTACAATGCGATGACACAAGAGCAACAACCAGTGAGCAGGAAGAGCAGACCGAGCGAGCCAGCGACTCGGGCAGGCGACAGTTTTGTAGAAGGAGCATCTCGACCTGCATATGCTATTTTGACTTTTTGAGCTCTAGCTGAGGCTGAGGCGGTCTTACCGACGCTCCGTCCGCACCCTGGTGCATCCTCCTAAAGGGTCGATGGAAGGGAGAGGGCGCAGAAGCCGTGTGCACTCGCGTTGGTAAAACGTGCGCGTTGTTTGGTCGAGGCCAGGCACTAGCACCTTAGAGCATGCAAGCCACCTCGTGGCCCTGAAGCTGTGGACTCATGGCGTCGCGAGAGCTTCAGCCTTCTCGCTCTCACCGATGGGCGAGCGGTGGGGTCAATGTCGGCGGCGTGGAACGAACATCCGCAGCACGAGCGGTGATTTGCGCGCTGTGCGACTTCAGCTGATCCTTCGTCAACAATGACGATGAAGATGCTTCCACAGGCGTTCGCAGCTTCGCCAAGGCTGGCTGAAGGAGCCGGTGAGAGAGGACAAGTGGGAGTGTGTGAAGGATACGACGGCTTCTCTGCCTACGCCAGCTCCACCTGCTAGCTCCCTGCAGACGTGCACATGTGCGAACTGCATCAGGCGTCGTTACGTTGCCTCGCACGCGGTCTGGACCAGCTCGGCCGAGAAGCAACGGCGCGAGCTCGACGCAGTATACCGGACAGGACAAGCAGTGGCATGCTTGAAGCGAGGCAAGAGGGGCAAGTGAACGCGATGGAAGCAGAGGCATTGATCTGTAGGGGAACACGTGAAGAGCAATGCAAAGTATGGCCATATTGATGTGTCGAGACTCTCATATTGATTCGGGTGGCAGAGGCAGAGGACCGCGGCCCGAGACGAGGCCGGCACGCATGTGCGCGAGGCCAATGCCAGCCTCAGCTCCGTCCATCAATTCTGCAACTTCGCCCACTGACGACATCTTCACCACTTGCCCAACATGGCTTCCAAACCGGTGACGCTGCAGGTCAAGCCCAGAGGTACACTTACCACATCCATGCCGAGGCATTCATCCAACTCACCGGTCCCACAGGCAAGCGAATTCCCAAGCTGCCCAAGGAAACGAGCATCTACGTGCAGGGCAGCACGAGTGACTTGTATCACCGCATCGCGGCCGAAGCCAAGTTCGACATCAATCGTCTTCGCATCACCAAGGAAGATGGTACCTTTGTGCCCAATGAGAAGGGCAAGACCGTCGACAGCTTTGGCCTGAAAGATGGCAGTGTCGTGCAGGTCAAAGATTTGGGTAATGCCCCTCATCCTGCAGAAATAACACCAAACGATGCTGACGACCCCCTTCACAGGCCTCCAAATTGCATGGCGCACCGTCTTCATCATCGAATACCTCGGGCCCCTCCTCATACATCCCATATTCTACTTCCTCCGCCCTCAGATCTACTCCAGCGCACCATCCGAACCTTCGTCCCTTCAGACTCTCTCCGTAGCCCTCATCTCCCTCCACTTCCTCAAACGCGAAATCGAAACCTTCGTGGTGCACCGCTTCAGCAATGCCACCATGCCCGCCCTCAACATCTTCAAAAACTCCGCCCACTACTGGATCCTCGCTGGAGTCTTGATCGCCTACTTCATCTACTCTCCCACTCACCCCACAGCAGGAGAGCTAAATCCTTTGATCGACTATCCGGCTCTTGCAGGATACGTCATTGGCGAGCTAGGCAATCTCAACACGCATCTTGTGCTCCGCAATCTCCGATCTCCAGGTGGTACAGAGCGGGGTGTCCCCAAAGGTCTGGGCTTTAATTGGGTGACATGTCCGAACTACATGTTTGAGGCGCTGGCGTGGGCGAGTATGTGCGTTATCACAAGATCGTGGACGACAGTCGTATTCTCTGCTGTGGCCATCGCAACAATGGGCGCGTGGGCGAAGAAGAAGGAGAGGAGATACAGGAAAGAATTGGGAGCCAAGTACCAGAAGAAGAGGTTCGCCATGATTCCTGGGATCATCTGAAGAGATAGGGTGCTGGAGGAGATATTGAGCGGATCGTTTATATGTTCAAAAGTAAATTTAAGCTACGCTAAAGAGTGTGTGGAGTAAGTGGAGGGCGAAGATCGTGGGCAAACGGGACGAGAGTCCGGTTCCGGAAGGGTTCCAGCTGCTCGAGGAGCAACAGAATAGTAAAAACGTCAAGATCTTGAGGCGATGCCACTCGAAAGCGATGACCGAGACGCGCTCTACTCGCACGAGGAAAGATCGTAAAAGTTCCAGCAGCACAAATAATGGCTCTGAGCTTATGAGATGCTTGGAGTCATTACTCCAAGTAGTTACTGCTCTCGGTCCCATTGCAAACACTACTCGTGGTCCGTTTGGACCTTTGTGAGCTCGGAAGCCGCCCTAGAAGCAGAGATATCAAACAAGGCCGTCAACATCATTACAGTCTACACAGAACACTGCTTACCCCTGGTACATCCCCCTCACAGCGTATACCTGAACCCCTCCAAGCCCTCAATAATTTCCTCTCCCCTATCAGCCCTCTTATTCGCCTTCCAAAATCTCCAATCCAACCACGCCGTGATAATTATTGTGAGTATGCCACAGCCAATTGTCGTCCACATACCCGGTCTGTAATTCGGGGCATCCTGGGACCGGAACACGGTTGATCCGATGATACCACCAACTCCGCCGGCACCGACCATTGTCGCAGAAGAGAAAGCCCGCTTCCATTGACCGCGGATATTGTTGGCTTGGAAGCTCATCATGCAGGGAATGTTGGCTTGTGGGCCGGTGGTGGCGAGGAAGACGCCGAAGTAGCGGACGGCGGGAGTTTTGGCGAAACCGAGCAGGGGAAGGCCGATGAGACCGATGATGGCGTTCATGATAATCTGTTGGAGAAATGGTAAGTTTTCTTGTGCTGGGTATATACGCCATGCCACTTACGAGAGGGCCACGAATGTGGTACTTGTCTCCGACGACGGCACATCCAAACATCCAGATGGCGGCAAGCACGTACGGCGGTGATATAAGGCATCTGGGATTTGTTAGCACTCGTCTCTGCTGCCGCTTGAGGCACAGCCAACGACTTACTCCGACATCGCGAGATCAAATCCCATGGAATCGTGAAGGATGATGGGCAGGAAGTAAGCGATGGCCTGCGAGCAGAGTCAGTATAGGCTTCGACATGATCTGAATCAGGCAGAGAAGTGTGTAAGAGGGAGATTCACATAACCAACCGTCGCAGTCAGCATGAACTGGACCGCAAATCCCCAGACCTTGATATCAAGACCATGGCGAAGATAACTCGAAAGCTTGAATGGCGTAGTAATCGCATCATCACGGTCCTTCTCAATCCGAGCAACGATGTAAGCGGCCTCTTTCTCAGTCAAGAAGGGTCGTACAATAAATCGAGACCTCTTAGCCGCGTTCTCCGGGAAGTCACTTATAAAGAATGCACCCCCAGCCGCCACGAGAACAGTAATCAGCCCTTGGATAATGAAGATCCAACGCCAGCCCGCGATACCAGGTTTTATGCCGAATGGTAGGTGGGGGTTCTTTTTGGTCGGTCCATAGTGCTGACCGTATTTATCTCCAAGATCGCCGAGGCCATCCATTTGTAGGAGACCGTAGCCTAAAATACCAGAAAAGGCAGCAGACAAGTTGCCGATAAGGAAGAACACGGCATTGCGCTTGTGGACTTCGTAGCGTGGGTACCAGCAGGACAATAAATAGGCGCATCCAGGAAAGAAGCCAGCCTCAAAAGCTCCAAGAATGATGCGGAGGGGAATCATCTGCCACCAGTGTATCACGAAGCCGAATGTCATCATAGTGAGTCCCCAGAGCAGGGTGATGAGGGGGAGGAACAGCTTTGGCCCGACTTTGCGGAGGACGACAGTGGCTGGGGGTTGTAGCAAGACGTAGGTGATGAAGAACACCAGTACGATCGTGGAGTAGCGAAATTTGATGAGCTTGAGATCAACGCCCATGCCTCCTACCACAGCAATGCCCAAGTTGGTGCTGTGTTGTCACTCGTTAGCTCTGTGCTCGTCATGTTTCGGTAAGATATGTAAATACCGATCCATCAGCGAGACACAATACATCAAGCCCAGAGTCAAGCATAGTCGCACATCGATGCGCCACATGAGCTTCTTCTTCTCCTCTTCAGTGAAAAGATTGAGGATATCATCATTCGAATCAGGAACAGAGCGTTCAGACTGTTTCCGCTCATACTCAAAGATCTCTTCCTTCTTGTGGTCTGCCATATTGGCGATGCTTGTGAGGCTCGAAAGAGATGCGATAGCCTTGTTCATATAGAAGGATCCTACCTCAGTCCCCCTTCTGGAGAGGGACTGCAGTCCGGACACTCCGACCACAGGGAAGACGCTGCTTGAAAACACTTTCCCATCCTAGTTCGGGCTTGACAGTTGTGACAAGCAAATACAAGGTTGCTTGAACCTAGATTCTCCTCTTATTTTTGGTTTAATCTCCGCCAACGCATACAGCGAGTGGATCATGAGAGACAATGTGGAGTGTCTTTAGACCTCTTGCTGCATGCGATCAAGAGCATACGGAGCATACATTGGCGCGATCTGAAGAATTGATCAACATTAGGTGTCATGTTCCCCGTGTCGCGGTGTGAAATCTGGTGCTTCTGCATATTGGTGATTCCCGTGAAGACTGCATTTTCTCTGCGGTGGGGACATCATCACCTGCGAGGAAGGAGTATGTTATCAATGGCCGGGTGCGGATGGAAGCGATTCCGTGTGAAGAACATGAAGCTGCTGTTACAAAGTTATCGGATGTTGGTAGGGTCTTCAGACACGTTCGGCAGCTCGCTGTATGGTCGAGCCGGGTAGTCTGAGTTTCGCACCTACCATCCTCACGGTATGCGGCCGAGAAGATGAGAAATCAGGTTGCATGGTGGACACCATCAAACATCGCCTTGCGATCGCGTTTTGAAGACGCTTTGAGAGGACGTGTGATTGCCAGAGAAGCAAGAGTGATGCAGTGAGCCCATGCGTCGATCATGAACCCTGGATGTAGACATCTCCGAAGTCGCTACGCCCTGTGATGAAAGCTAAACGTTTAGAAATTCGCAGTCATCACTCTGCACTCATTGCATTCACACTTCCGATCTCGTCCCAGCCTGTTGGCATTGCCCGTCCGAAGTAGTCGCGATGGCAGCACGGGTCTGCAGCAAGCACGTCAGTGCACTGTTGCGTGCTCGAACGTCCACTGGAGTTCCGCGAAGATGCTATGCGTCGGCTGCTACAGCACCTTCCACTCTGCCAGCGGGGCAGAGGCAGGCCATTGAGGTTTGTAGCACACTTTTCCGAAGAAAGAGCGTAACTGACAGCGTAGCAGAGAGAGGCATCGCTCCGCACACCAGATCCAGCCGCCGATTCTCAGACTGCCCGCCTCGTCGAATCTCATGCGCCATTTATGGTCCCCACATATGTCCGACCCCCTCCAGTCTTCCATAAGGGCGAAGGATGCTATATATGGGACATTGAGAACAGGCAGTACTTGGACTTCACTGCCGGTATTGCTGTCAATGCCTTGGGACACTGCGACCCGCAGGTGAGCAAGATTCTGTATGAGCAGTCTAAGACATTGGTGCACAGCTCCAATCTGTACTACAACCCATGGACCGGAGCACTCAGTCAATTGCTGGTTGAGAAGACACGAGAGGGTGGCGGCTTCGACGCTGCGCGAGTCTTTGTGTGCAACTCGGGAAGTGAAGCAAATGAAGCCGCGATCAAGTTTGCGAGGAAGTACGGAAAGAGCGTACAGCCAGATGGCAGCAAGTATGAGTTGGTGAGCTTCCAGGGCTCGTTCCATGGGCGAACAATGGGGTCATTGTCTGCCACCCCCAACCCAAAATACCAGAAGCCGTTCTCCCCAATGATTCCCGGCTTCAAGTACGGCACATACAACGACATTGCAGGCATCAATGACCTTGTGACGGAGAAGACTTGTGGCGTGATCATTGAACCTATTCAAGGCGAGGGAGGTGTCAATGTTGCTACACAAGAGTTCCTTCTGGCTCTGCGCAAACGCTGCACAGAGGTCGGCGCAGTTCTGATCCATGATGAGATCCAATGTGGCCTGTCACGAACAGGTAAGCTTTGGGCCCACGCTGCACTACCGAAGGAGGCGCATCCCGATATTGTCACCACCGCGAAGGCGCTTGGTAACGGCTTCCCCATTGGCGCCACTCTGGTCACAGAAGATGTTTCGAGCAAAATTGTGACAGGAGACCATGGCACAACATACGGTGGAAACCCGCTCGGATGTCGCCTAGCACACAACATTGTCACACGACTCTCCGACCCGGAACTACAGAAAGATGTTCTGAAGAGGGAGGCGCGATTCCGACAGCACTTTGTGCGCATTCACGAAGCTTTCCCGGATGTCGTGCAGGAGGTCAGAGGCCGGGGTCTGATCCTGGGTCTTCAACTGAGTGCTGACCCAACACCTGTGATCACAGCTGCTCGGGAAAGAGGCCTGCTTGTGATTACATGTGGTACAAATACCTTACGTTTCGTCCCTCCTTTAATCATCTCTGATGCCGAGATCGACGAGGGCATGGAGATTCTCGAGAGCGCCATGAACGCCGTCTTCCGTGAACCAGGTCACATTCCCGGCACTGATGGTCAGCAAGAGATGCGCGCATCCAGGTGAGCAGGTCCTACTGGGAATATCGAAGATATAATCCAAGCATCTGCCATGGCTGGGATCGATTCTTGACCGGCGCCGAGGTTACACAAGCACTTCGCCTCGAAGTCAGATTTTCTGCAAGATCGCACGTCACAATCAGTCTGCGGAAATCAGCCAGCTGCCTCAGACATGTGGCCGCTCCTCATGGACCTGAGCCGCAACTCATATTGGCGCCGCAAGTCACTACCTGGAGAAGCCTTCCGCGGCACACGCGATCCTCAGATCCGCCGTTGATCCATCATCACAGCATGCGGCATAAGCAGAGTATGCTCATTGCGCGATACCAAGCGCATGAGCATATTCATCAGCGCTAGGACCGGTATGGATGTCACACGCTCGGTGTTTTGTTATGCGCCGGAAACGTCATCAGGAAGATGTCTGTCCTTTCCACGCAGTTCGAGTGCGATGAGGGTCGTGGTGCCGCGTCGACTGTCATCATGGAATCGAACGTGCTCATTCGAGCGCGAGTTGATTGTAACCAGCGGTCTGTAGTGTATTGTATAGATTCTAGGCCTGGCACGAATCGCCTGTGAAACACCCCGTCTTCTTCGCCGAAAAGTTCTCCCGGCCGGTCGACTTCGTCATCGCCCAGACTCCAAGCCTCAAACGTCTCTTGGTACTCCCATTCACTGTTGCGCCATTGGCTCCCCAACGGAACTAAAACAAAGCAAGCGCCCGAATTAGAAGAGCTGCGGCGTCCGAGGCGTAGTCGTTGAAAGCTCGCAGGATCTCACACAATCGTTTGGGCAACAGAGCACACGATCGATGCAAGCATATCATCCCCAGCGACGTCGAAAGTCCGCGCGGCGAAACTCGTTCAGTTCGGACAACCACCCAACCAGGTACAATCGCAAAACGCCACCGCGGAAGGCGCGAATCGCCGCGAGCAGATCACAGATGAAACCAGTTCGTGTTTAATGCTGAGCCACCCCAAGAGTAAGCTCTGGTCTTGGCCGCTGCCCTTAGCAGTGAACTGATCAAGCCCATCAACTGACATTCCACGCGCTGTCGCATGCCCACTCTCCGCCTTGCTTTTTCCCCTTGCCGTCTCTTAATCCTTCTTTCTTATCCATTTCTCGCTTGCGGTCGGTGATAAACGAATACAACGTCATTTGACCCATATCGCAAAACATCCCAGCTCCAGTCTGCGGAAAGGGACCAGGTGCTATCATAAGCGGACAAGGCAAGAGCTAGACCTGGCAGGACCAGCCTATACCGGCCAACGCGACAAGGCGTGTGCGCGCGCGTGAGACGCAATATCATGATGAACAGGGATACGCTTCGGGGCGCGTCACGCGAAATGGGACATCCTTCGAAGAAACTTATCGCGGCATATGTTTTCGACTGGGTCATTACTGTCGTCTTCGCGGCAGCCGGCGGCTTCCTGTCGTTCGTCCACCCGACCCATCGAGCTTTCTCGCTCTTGAACACCGAAATATCATACCCATACGTGGAGGAAAGCATCCCGGCATGGCTGGTCGGTGTCATCGCAGGGCTTGCCCCAGCGCTCATCATTGCTGTGGTGGCCCTGGTATTTGTGCCTGGACGTGAAGTGCGACGGTTTTCGACGAGGTCGCAGGTACTGAGGTTGAAGCTATGGGAGTTGGAGAAGGGCCTTGCGGGACTATGCTTGTCTCTCGCGGTGGCATTCTTTGTTACGCAGGGAATGAAGAACATGTTTGGAAAACCGAGGCCAAATATGCTGGCGAGGTGCAATCCCAATGTGGAAGAAGTTAGTTCTGCCTATCGAGGCGGATATGGACAAGACATCAGTATGCGCTGGACCATGGTCGACTCGTCCATTTGCCAGGAGACAGACGAGGAGACTCTACAAGACGCCTTCCGATCTTTCCCCAGCGGACATGCGTCTTGGTCCTGGGGCGGACTCCTCTATCTTACTCTCTTCATCTGCAGCAAGTTTGGCATCGGACTACCACATCTACCAGTAGTCTTCTCGTCAACAGAGCAGAGACAATCCCCTACGAACGAACACGAACTCCTTCCCCTCCATGCCAACCGAGCACGCGGCTCCTCGATGGAAACCGAACGCAAGGACGCCGAAGACAGCCCAGGCGAATACGCAGCTCCCCACGCTCTCCATCAACACAATCGCTCCCTTGACAACAACAACTTCACCGCAAACACGAGCTACAGTAACGCCAACCGCAACAACTACCCAACATCCACATCCTCCAATCCCATCAGCGTCCGTAACGCAGCAGCCGCCCCACCAAACTACCTAATTATTCCAGCCCTCACGCCTATCGCCGTCGCAGTCTACATCTGCTCCACGCGCTTCGCCGAATACTACCATTTCGGCTTCGATCTCATTTTCGGCTCCCTAATTGGAATCGTCACCTCCTGGCTCGCGTTCAGATGGTACCATCTTCCAATCTCGAGAGGCCAGGGCTGGGCATGGGGAGCCAGATCCAGAGATCGCGCATTTGCATTCGGTGTGGGAACGAGTGGATGGGTTTCAGATGCTGGTTGGTCGAGTAAACGAGCGAGTCCTGCGGATGTGAGTGCTAATCCTGTTCCTGTTTGAGCACGGCGATTATGAGAGAAAGACGAGAAGATGGTGTGCTTATATTGTATTTGCGAACCTGTGCTGAGTCTTTTGTTCTCTTCGCAGATTGATATTTCGAATCGTGTATAGAGAAGTTGTTGTAACTTCTGTTCTCCTACTCTTCTCCGCATTGAAAATGAGAGGGAGTGGGGAGGCGGAAGTCTCGATTCGATTCGATTCGATTCGATTCTGGTTGTATGATTGATTTAGCGTTGGCGCAAGGTTGAGAATAATCGGACCAAGGGGCGGCGAGGGGGTAGGAGAGAGAAGCGGAAAAGTTGAAGAACGGACAGCGAAACAGGCAGAGGAAACAGTTTCGAGTTGTATTGGCACAGCGGACGATGAGATAATCCCAGTATTGGATATGATGAGGAAGTTATGAATTTCACGTTGAATGTTGGAAACCATTCTCATACTGCACATTCATGCCGTATGCTGACAGCACCATGCTCCTCTTACTTCGCAAGGCAGTGGTGACCAGGAGAAATGTAAACAGCCACTGAGCTCACTGTGCCATTGGAGACATGCTGCCTGTGGCACGGAATTCACCAATGATGCTTCAACGTGATGGTGATGGGAAGTGAGACTGCTTTCTATGTCAAACTTGACATGTCATATATTGTTACAGCTTGTGGCGGGCACCGTCTCTCTCTATACTAAAGAAGACTCTATAAAAAGGGCCAGCCAACGCCCTAGCTCTCGAGTTGAAGTGAGAGATCAGGTGATTTTAGAAACTCTTCATGCCGGCTAGATTTTGTGGTATCCCCTCTTTCTTCATGTTGAACGCCCAAGCGCCTCGCAATGCTTTTATCTTTTGGCCCGCCCCTCCCGGTAATTGAATGCTCTGTCTGTTGAAAAGACAAAACCCCTTTCTGTTCCCAGACGTAAAAAGTGGTATCTTGCAAGTTCCAAAAAATTCACGTGTTGAAGCATCGCTCATAAACATCATAAACATCTCTTTTGATGAGATGTGCCGTCTAGTAGCGGTACATCTCGGTCTTGAATGGACCCTCGATTGGCAGGGACATGTACTCTGCTTGGGCCTCGGTCATCTTGGTGAGCTTGACGTTGACGTGTTCAAGGTGGAGGAGAGCGACCTGCTCGTCGAGGATCTTTGGCAGAACGTAGACGCCGATTGGCATGCGTGGGACGCTGGACTTGACTTGACCCTCCTCTTGGACCTTGATTGGGCCATCGGCCTCGCCTTCGATGGCACGGGCGAACTCGACGTACTTGGTGGCGAACTGGCGGTCGCCAGCCTTGTACAACATGATCTGGGCAAGAACCTGGTTGGTGAAAGAGCAGGACATGACGAAAGAGCTGTGGCCAGTCGCGCAGCCCAAGTTGACGAGACGACCCTCAGCGAGGAGGATGATGTGGCGGCCGTTTGGCATGAGGAAGCGGTCGACCTGAGGCTTGATGCTGACAACCTCCTTGGCGGTCTTCTTCAACCAGGCAACGTCGATCTCAATGTCGAAGTGGCCAATGTTGCAGACGATGGCATCCTCACGCATGGCCTCGAAGTGCTTGCCAACAATGATGTCTCGGCAACCAGTGGTTGTCACGAAGATCTGGGAAATAGGAGCGGCCTCCTCCATGGTGACGACTTGGTATCCAGCCATGGCAGCCTGGAGAGCGTTGATAGGATCGATCTCAGTGACGAGCACACGGGCACCCATGGAGTGGAGAGCCTGAGCACAGCCCTTGCCGACATCACCGAAACCGGCAACGACAGCGATCTTGCCAGCAATCATGACATCGGTGGCACGCTTGATACCATCGACGAGGGACTCTCTGCAGCCGTAGAGGTTGTCAAACTTGCTCTTGGTGACGGAGTCGTTGACGTTGATGGATGGTGCGAGAAGTCCATTTGGCTTGCCCTTGTTCTTGAGCATCTTGTAGAGGTGGTGGACACCAGTGGTGGTCTCCTCGGAGATACCGTAGCAGCCAGTGAGCATCTCTGGGTACTTGGTGTGCACGAGAGCAGTAAGATCACCACCGTCGTCGAGAATCAGGTTGAGAGGCTGACCCGATGGGAAAGACTTCAATTGTTGCTCCAAGCACCACTGGTACTCCTCCTCAGTCTCACCCTTCCATGCGAAGACGGGAGTGCCGCTGGCAGCGATGGCCGCGGCAGCGTGATCTTGAGTGGAGAAGATGTTGCAGGAGGTCCAGGTCAGCTCAGCACCGAGGGCCTTGAGCGTCTCGATGAGCACGGCAGTCTGGATGGCTGTGGGCGATACGTCAGCGCTGCAATGGCACGATGTGTGGCGGCGGACAATACGAAGCGGAGGAACTCACTCATGTGCAAGCAACCGGCAATGCGGGCTCCCTTGAGGGGCTGCTCGGCGGCATACTTCTCACGGGTCTGCATGAGACCTGGCATCTCCTGCTCGGCCAGCTCAATCTCTCGTCGGCCAAAGGCCGCGAGGTTGATGTCTGCAACCTGCACCACCGCCCGTCAGCCATTGTTCTCGCGGGAATGCGGCGTTCCCGAGCCATTGCGTGTGCGTACCTTGAACTTCTGTGCTGGCTCACCCATTTTGACGGTGTTTGAAGGATGTGGAGTGGGATAAGAGGGTAAAAAGTAAAGTGAGTGAAAGATGAAGAGGTGAGGAGGGTTGAGCAGTGAAGCAAAAAAGTTGTTGTTAAGCTCCTGCCCCGCGCCGTTCAGCGAAGGGCAGAGAAGCACGGGCACCAAACGACCCACAGCTCCCGCCTTGCAACTTTCAGGGTCTGCGACGACTCGGCAAATGCACGACACACTCACACCGCAGCTGCCGCCCACGGTGAGCTGGATCAATGTGCTGTGCTGCTACCACAGTACTGCGGCTTCTAGTGCTGCACGCGACGTTTCTCGAAATGTTCTCTGCCTGCGTCGAGCAGTCACTGCCGCAGCCCAGCAGAAAGTTGCTGGCTGGCCTGCTCGCTGTTCGAGCAAAACGCACCGCGGCATCCGCAGCCTACACCTGCTTGCAATTCCCTATCCTAGGATCCTGTCTAGGATCGGGGCATTGCTAGTCGGTCACCGATTTCGCTCTCAACGACCAGCATATCTTCACATTGAGACGTCTACGGCAACCGGTCGGGAGAAGTGCACAGTTGTATTCTTATGGCCATCGTGGGCTGTGAATTGTATATCATTACACGTGCTAGAGCTCATACATCCTCCCACGCTATGCGTTGTACATCGGAGAGAATGAGCTATCAAGAGCTCCATTTCAAGAGAGCCTCCGCCAAAGCAGCTGTAATCAATCAAAGAGTATGCTCGCTGGCTTGCATCAACCCGGTTCCTTGTTCTACATGTGCTGTGCTTGCAGCGCGTCCTCGCGCGCTACAGCAGGTGCGGTCAGATCTCCGCTTTTGCTTTTGGTAGTCTTCTAGAAACGCCATGCTGAACGCCATCATGTGCTGTGAATCATAAAAGTTTTGGCAAGTGCGCTGCAAATGCAGCGGGTGAGGGAATCCGCACATTTTCCTGAATCGGTCATCGTCTCAGTGAATCAGTATATTAGGCACCATGGCTCACGATGGAAGGCTCATGTCTTGCATCATTTCGTCGAGGCCAGCGCCATGGCTCATCAGTGGTGATCCAGAGCCATCATGGTCAGTGGTCGCCTGTTTGCGTCGTGACAATCGTCGATTCGTTACGTCGTCATCTTGGGGCGAGTTGAAGATACTGCGAAAGGCAGGTTCTTCATCGCTCATATTTTCCGCCCCTTCGTGGTTCGTGGGTGACCGTCGCCGGTTCGGACTGGTGTAGAGGCCTTCAGTTTCACGCAAGGCATCTTTCACTTTGCGTTTCAGGCTACTAACATACGGCACAATGTGCCGAAGTGTAGCTGTATCGAAGGGCACTTTCTTGTTTGTTGGGTATATCGAAGACAGCGCAGGCGAGTCCTCTGTGATCCTCCTGGACTGCAGAGCTGCGATGACCTTTTGAGCCACGAGTTCGGAATCTTTTCGGGGCCGGGTCACAATTGTTGTGCCCTGCTTTTGACCGCGTGTTGGCGAGACATCCGCAGAGAGCTGGGGTTGTATCGCCTTCACGTTCGACTTGATCGGTGTGACTTCCTCGAAGGCACTTACATCGAAGCCAGGAGATGAGGGAGGGGTTCGGCGGGGTTCGATAGTGTGTTCCTCGCTTTCTTGGTCTGCAAGCTCGATCATGGCGTCCACCTCTCGCCACGACTGTGCATACGTGCCGGTCAGCATATTCAAGGCCACAGCTCGAATCCGCAGTTCCTTCAGCTCTTCAATCAACAGCCCCCACTCGCGCAGCAAGCTTATGTTGGCTACCACATTCTCTTGCTGTTCGCGAATAGATTTGGGTACGAACATAACATGCCCGCTGTCAATACGCCTCGAGTCGCTCTCGTTGATATCTTGTACAGGTTCGGGGAGTTCGTCGAAGTCGAAGTCATCGTTCCAGTCTTCTGTCACACCTTTGCTCCCGACACCCCATGTGCCAAATTTGTTGGCTACAACGTTACTACGTTTGTTGTCAAAATCAGGTACGACAGGCACACTGTGACTCCGTGCGTGCATCCCGCTGACAGGTCGGCGACCGGCCGGTCTGCTTCCTCTGCTGTCTTGATCCTTCTTTCCATGCACAGTACGAGGTCGGGGAGGAGACTGTTGAGGATGACTCGGACTCGGTTGTGGCTCTGACCAATCAAATAAATTTGGTTTTTCCATTGGCGAGTATCCGTTGCGATATGGCGTGGAATTCGCAGATCTCGAACTGGTGAATCGCAAAGCAGGACCAAAACGAAATGGCAACGTTTGTGTTGTTGTTTGCCCGCCAAAGGAAGGCATGGAGTCATGTCGTTGAATGCCAAGGCCTGGCTCAAGTCCACCGTCGTTGTCGGCATCCCAATCATCATCGTCCATATCGGGCGTTAGGCGCATAGTAGGTGGCGAAGACGAAAAGATGTGAGTCGCTCCAGGGCGTGCTGAAGGCGTTGAAGTAATGCTCTTGTTCCGGAGGGACCTTACTGGGGTGCTGACCACGCTCCCTTCCTCCTCGATAGTGCTGTACCGGGCGTTGTTGTGCTCATGGCCATCACTCAAGAAATCCCGGAGTTTGGTGCTCCGACCAGAGGAGAATGTTGGGGGTGATTCGTCAAATATGGTTTCAATGGGAGGCCCACGTCGTCCCGAACTGCTTCGCGTTGTCCTCGTTGGAATCGAATCGTAGTACACGTCGCTCTGATAGTCAGTGCTGTTGTCACCTAACGAGCGCCGCTCACTTTCCGAGCCGACAGTTGAAGCGATTTCTGAGTAGGTCGCAGAGATTCTTGGCTGCCTGGCCGAAGGCGCGAACGCGCTCTCCGGGGGCAAGCGATGATGATCCGGTGTGCGTGCGCCGGAGCCTGGCGCAGGCGCTGTTTCATCTTCTGAATACGGTGCTTGCGGCAGCTCGCCACCAAGTTGGAGGTCGACCTCGTAGGCGGGATCCGAGGAAGAAGGATGTTCGCTAGAAGATGACGAGTATATGCTGCGCTGCGACGATGTTGGGTCGGTTAAATCGCGGCGTTTGGCAGGGCGTTCCAACTCTGGCTCTATGTTCCTGCTCACGAGACCACCCATTGAAGCTGGCCTGAGTCTGCGGTTCGATCTGGCAGACCACGGTCTGCCATTGCTCGTTGATGGTCGTCGCCACAGTGGTTGTGGCCCTGTCGAGAGGAGGTCACCAATGGAGAAGGATCGTCGGGGAGACGCGCTTTCTTCGAAGAAAGGAACGTAATTGGGAAACGGCGAGGAAGCTGTACTCTGCGCCACGTTGACTTCGGTGGTTGCGTGAAAGGTTTCAAGTTCATCTGCAGCAAAGGGGGCCTCGACAGTAGACACGCGAACTGGTTCCTTTGCGGAGACCAGGGTTGGTGTGTACTTTCGATCAGGAAACATACGACGTACAGGATTCGGGATGCCTGTCGAATTTCGTCGTCTGGTCAATGTCGATTGCTCACGTGTCGCTTCGGGCGAGAAGTATGATCGCCAATGAGAAGCATTACCGGACGGAGAACTGGTACCACGGGATATGGGGCTATCCCAGCCTGAACCTGATAGCCGCTCGTGCAGCGTCGCGGAGCGCTGATGACTTGTAGCTGGCCTTCGAAATATGGGGATCCGCGAATTGGGCGATCCATGAGTGCTGCTGAGCGATGTTGTCCGCTTCACGAGCTTGTTGGCTGCAAGTGGACGTTCGTTCGTTGGTGGTGTGCTGTCCGCAACCATGGGAGTGGACGAGCCGGTGACGGAAGGGGTAATCGACCCATTGGAGTGCGAGATGGCGGCAGAAGGTGGGCGTGATGTCGGAGTGCGACTGGAGTCTCGAGACGAGGATAATGAACTGGACAGTCGGCGGAACCACTTGCTGTTGGCGGCTGATCCTGTTGCAGAGGTATTGGTGTCTGCGGCGACGCCGTGCTCTTCCTGCG